CTTTGGTGACCATGCCCATCTGAGTACATCCCATTAAGATGATTCAGCCCCTTGGTGCCCATGTTCATCTGAGGACATCTAGTAAATGGATTCTGCCCTTTGGTGCCCATATCCATCTGAGTACATCCGAGTAAGATGATTCAGCCCCTATTTGCCCATGTATTTAGGGTACATCACAGTAATACGATACTGCCCTTGGTGCACATTTCCATCTGGTACATCCCTGTAACATAATTTTGCTTCTTGGTGCCCATGTCCATCTGAGTACATCCAGTTTAATGGATTCTGCCCCTAGGTGTCCATTTCAATCTGAGAGCTGAATTAAATGGATTTGCTCCTTGGTTCCCATGTCCATCGGAGTACATCCAGTTAAATGGATTCTGCCCCTTGTTGTCCATGTCAATCTGCGTACTTCCAGTTAAATCAATTCTGCCCCTTGGTGGCCATATCCATCTAGTACATTCCAGTTAGAGTATTCTTTCTCTTGGTGCCCATGTCCATCTGAGTACATCCCAGTAAGTGTATTCAGCCCTTTGTGTCCATGTGCATCTGAGTACATCCACTTAAATGGATTCTACCCCTTGGTTCCCATGTCCATCTGGGTACTTCCAGTAAAATGGGTTATGCACCTTGGTACCCATATCCAAGTGCGTACATCCAGTTAAAAGGATTCTGTGCTCTGTGCCCATGTCCATCTGAGTGTTTGAGTTATATGGATTCTGCCCCTTGGTGCCCATGTCCATTTGAGTACATCCATTTATATGTATTCTTCCCTTGGTGCCCATGTCCATCTGAATACATATAGTTTAATGAATTCTGCCCCTTGGTTCCCATGGCCATCTGAGTACATCCCAGTTAAATGCATTCTGCCCTTGGTGCCCATGTGCATCTGAGTACATCCCTATAGAGGATTCTGCCCCTTGGTGCCCATGTCCATCTGAGTGCATCCCAATTAGATTATTCTCGCCATGGTGCCCATGTCCATCTGAGTATATCCCTGTAAGTGTATTCAGCCCTTGGTGCCCATGTGCATCTGAGTACTTCCAGGTAAATGGATTATGCCCCTTGGTTCCCATGTCCATCTGAGTACATCCAGTTAAATGGATTCTTCCCTTGGTGCCCAAGTCCCTCTGAGGACATCCAGTTTAATGGATTCAGCTGCTTGGTGCACATGTCAGGTGAGTTGTTGAGTTAAATGGGTTCCACCCCTTGGTGCACATATCCATCTGAATACATTCTGTTAATTGGATTCAGTGCTGGGTGCCCATGTCAATCTGAGTACATCCAGTTAAATGGATTCTGCCCCTTGGTGCCCATGTGCATCTGAGTACTTCCAGGCAAATGGGTTATGCCCCTTGGTGCCCATGTCCATCTCAATACATCCAGTTAAAAGGATTCTGTTCTCCGTTCCCATGTCCATCTGAGTACATGCAGTTAAATGGATTCAACCCCTTGATGTCCATGTCCATGTGAGTGCTTTGGTTAAATGGGTTCCACCCCTTGGTGCACATATCCATCTGAATACATTCTGTTAAATGGATTCAGTGCTGGGTGTCCATGTCTATCTGAGTACATCCAGTTAAATGGATTCGGCCCCTTGCTGCCCATGTCCATCTGTGTACTTCCAATAAAACGAATTTGGCCCCTTATTGCCCATGTCCATCTGAGTACATCCCGTTTAATGGATTTTGCCCTTGGTGCCCATAGCCTTCTGAATGCATCCCAGTAAGAGGATTTAGCCGCTTGGTGCCCATGTCCATCTGAGTGTTTGAGTTAAATGGATCCAGCCCCTTCATGCCCATGTCCATCTGAGTGCATCCTAGTAAGATTATTCTGCCCCTTGGTGCCCATGTCCATCTGAGTACATCCAGTTAAATGGATTCTGCCCTTGGTGCCCATGTCCATCTGCGTGCTTGAGTGCAATTCCCAACCCTGCTCCTGACTGACGCTCCCGCTAAGGTGCAATCTGGGAGGCATGAGGAGGTGACTAAGCTAGTGAAAATCCTGCACAGCATTACAATGAATCTCTGGCTCCAACTCGTGTGTTCTTCATGTAGCCTCTGTTCTTCTTCTTTACTTCTACTGTCCCACTTTCTACTCTTAAGATTTTACTTCTTCCTATCCCACCAAAATTCAGTTTATAGAACACTGACTTTCAGAAGTGACAACTAAGGTTAGATATCGTTTATTTGAAATGTTTAACCTTAGAAGTGATTATGTTTTTTTGGTTTAATGGGTATTCGCATATTGTAATGAAATTATTGCCTGATGAGCCTGAAATTTCAATATAAAATTGGTGTTTTCACGGTACCCTATACACATCTCGCTGGCAGTTTTATGTAATGTGTTAGTATGCCTGGTTTGACTGTGGCCTGTCTCATCAAATCAGGTATTAACACCCAGAAGTTTAGGATTTTCGGATTACACATGGTCAAATTGCTATTTGCAGTTTAAAATTGACTGAATTAGAAGTTTTCATCTTGTGTGGTATTCTGAATTTCATATATTGGGCATTAAAATTTAAAGTAATGTGTTTTCAGACTTAAGAGTTAATGTTTGACTATTAGAAGTTTATGTACCATAAAGTTAATTCTATTCTTAATAGAAAGTGATTTTCATTTAGTTGGACTCTTAAATGTACTGTTAAAAATATTTAATGTTTCATTTTTAAAATTCTACAAGTAATTCTCACTTCTACCAGAAGAGGGCCTTTTTAGAACAGCTTTTCCTTGCTCCACGTCAAAGGTATTTCTGTGTATCTTCCTGTGTGGTTTTTGTGACAACTGAACTTCCTCAAAAAGCATTTCAGAGTGAAAATTTTACTTACTAATTTCTTCCATGACTTATGCCTACAAAGTAATCTTTTTTGAGCTGCTGATTTGGGGTGTTGGGAAGGCTGTAAATCTTGCCTTGTTCCCTGTGATGTCTTCAACAGATGGACTGTGTTGCTGATTAACTGCAGAAGGCTAGATTCCAAGGAGAAATACAAACCTTCTCACCAGCTTCACTTGATGGTACTCTAGTTGAGTACACCTTGTTTCTGCCGCTGCCAGCCAAAACGAAGGTTCAACGAGAACTATCGTTTAAAAAAAAAGGCCTGGTTCAGTGGCTCAATTGGTTAATCCTCCCCTTTCCAGTGTAGGGATCCCATAAGGACACCAGTTTGTGTCTGAGCTGCTACACTTCCCGTTCAGCTCCCTCCTTGCTTGTGGCCTGGAAAAGCGAAAGAGGACGGCCCAAAGCCTTGGCACCCTGCACCCATGTGGGAGACACAAAAGAGGCTCCAGCCTCCTGGCTTCAGACCGGTTCAGCTCCAGCCATAATAGCCACTGATTCTTTCTGTAAACTTGACTTTGCAATAAAAATAATTACATCTTTTAAAAATTTTATTGGAAAGTCAGATATAGAGTGGAGACAGAGAGAAAGATCTTCCATCCACTGATTCACTCCCCAAGCAGCTGCAATGCCTGAGCTTCAGCAGACTGAATCCAGGAGCCTGAAGCCTCTTCTGGGTCTCCCACACAGTTGTCGTGTCCCAAGGCTTTGGGCCATCTTCGACTACTTTCCCACAAACAGGGAACTGGATGGGGAAGTAGGTAAGGCTGCTAGGATTAGAACTGGAGCCCATACAGAATCTTGGCGCGTGCGAGGTGAGTGCTTTAGCAGCTAGGCTGCTGCGCTGGGCCCAGAATAACTAAATTTTTGTAATAAAAAACCAAAAATACAAACAGGTGCTATATGAAGAGGTATACATGAATTTAAAGAACATTTTATCATGTCACCAAGTAGAAAGAAATTGTTGAATGAGGTTTTGTGTTAACTCCAGAGCTTCAAAGATTAAAGTCATTGACAGTATATTTCCTGTAATGCTCTAATACTTCGCTTTCGCAAGCGTAAGAGGAACAGGAAGCGAACTAGGAGGTAGGAGGGTGTCTAGTTGCTGTGGAGCGTCCCTGAGTGTGCTGGTCCTCCGAGGGCAGTCCAGTGTTGCCAACTGGCAGGCCACACCGTTTTCTCCTCTCTGTCTCAGGCTGTGGGGACTGAGGAGTTCATGCGAGAAAACCCTTTTCAGTTATGTGTTCTCTAATTGAGCGAGTCTTGGAGACTCCTGTGCCTTGATGTTCTTCATTGTTTATCCCTGGGATGCCTTTGTTGCTGCTGCTCTAGTGCTCTGTACAGTTCTCGTGGCTCCATGACCAGTCTCCTGTGCTGCATGTGGGCTGTGTTCAGACTCACGCCATCGAGGTGCATCGTGCCTGTCAGCAGGCCTGGGTAGAACTGTGACAGCCTCTAACTGCGTGCATGTGCAGAGAGATGGTTTAGCTTTTTAGTCTTTTAAAGTATAAAATGGGACTAACATCATGGTACAGTGTTGTGAGGAATAGTAGTAACACTAGCAGTGATAGCAGAGTCTCACTGAAAGCCTGCAGCTGGCTGGGAGCCGGCAGTGAGAGCCTGCAGCTGGCTGGGAGCCGGCAGTGAGAGCCTGCAGCTGGCTGGGAGCTGGCAGTGAGTGAGAGCCTGCAGCTGGCTGGGAGCTGGCAGTGACTGTGACTTCCTGCCTTGCCATGGGTCCTGTGTGATCTCCTTCCTCACCATCTCAGTCCAAGGTGGTGCAGGCACTACTAGGTGCTCATTCATTGGTGAAGGCGTGGCTAGGTGAGTCAGTGCAGGGGAGCTGCGTGGGCAGCCGTTGGACACCGCTGAGCTGCCACATCTGAGGCTTTGTTAGAGCAGAACAGAACATGGCTTAGGGAGCGTTCGGAAGGTTCCCTTCAGAGATCTCAGGGAATCAAGAGTTGGGTTACTGTGTGCTACAATATTCCAAGGTTTAAGTTCAAATCAGCTTTTAAAGTATTTATGATTTGATATTTGGTTTCCCGTGAGCATGGTGTTGATGATTATTATAACCAGAACTCAGTGATGTATTTGGTGATGTAATAGCATAGCTCTGATTTACCTGTGACATTGAACGTGTACATTTGTTGTTCTTACTACAGCAGCGTTATGGTGAGCTGGATGAGAGCAGACAGAGGTTACTGCAGAAGTGCAAGGAGCTGATGAAGAGAGCCCGGCAGGTGTGCAACCTGGGTGCCGAGCAGACTGTGTCCCCCGAGTACCAGACAGTAAGTATGGCGGATGTGGACGCTCTGAGCAGGGCCCGGCAAGCGCGGCTAAAACACGGCAACTCTGTGGGGGAAGTAGTTTTGCTTAACAGATTTTATGTGTTTCATTTACATTTGCCCACTATTTTTACTGCTTAATACTAAAAGTCTTAAAACACGGAACTCACTTTATAAAAACATATCTTAAGATTAGTTCCTTTGGGGAAAGTGGGCTTTTCACCCAAAGCTGTAAATTCCTGGGTAAATTTGAGTGATATCTGGGGTGAGAGGAAAGGTGAAAATGGTTTTCAGGAACTTGGGGGTTCAGCGGGGCTGGATATTCAGCTGTAGCACCTCTGAAGAAAGGAGGAAAGAAAGGTTTTTTCCGGTGTATTTTCTATTCCGACATAGCACTCAGTCAAGCCGGAGTCAAGCCCTTCAGCCGGCATTCCAGCTGATGTGAGGAACCCTGGGCTTTGGGCTTCGTCTGTCACGTGGGGAGGTGAATGTGCCACCGTGCTTACTCAGGAGAAAGGGGATACATAATTAGAAGTTAATTTGAAACTATTTGGTATTTTATTTTTTATTTTAATTTTACATATCTATTTCAGTAGATAATAAAGTCTCTACTAAAGATGAAAACAACTGGAAAAAAGAATAATGCAGATTATGATTTTCGTATTCTTAAATCCAAGAAGCCAAGATTGGAGCGATGGGAGACATAGCAGGGACTCGGTAGATGCCTCTAGAACTAACTGTGGGATGTATTCCCATGATAACACTAGACCTTTTGTGAAGTGCATTGTGTTAAGCATAAAATAAATAAAGTTTAGTATCATAGCTATTTTTTTCTGAATACAGGGTGATTCATCCTTGATAATTTCTACTACTTTAGAAAATAATATTTCATTAAATAAATTGATTATTGCTGTGTAATAGATATTGAATGAGACAGACATATTTCCTCGTCTGCTGAAATTTGCATTCTAGTAAGGAGGACGGGGCTGACCAAAACACAGAAAGCCGAATAGGGTATTTTCCGAGCTGCGAGATGCCAAGGAGAGGAGCGACAGGGTGAGAAGTTGAGAGAAGTCAGTGTGGCTGTTAGGCAATGGCATGCAGTGAGTTTGCTGATGCGTTTCAGGTTAGGGCCGTCTCAGTGGGAATGAAAACTGCGCAGACAGAGAGCAAAACCCTCGAGGGGCGCTTGGAGATGAAGAGAATCCACGGGGGGGAGGAGGAGAGTGCTCTTACTAACACTTGAGTTTAGACAAAGGTGTTCTGTGTGGAGAGCGGAGTGGGGTGGGACAAAGGACACCGTGCACTACGTTATTTCCTTGGCCCACCAACAATTTATTGTTTCATTGGTTGGCGTGGCAACCATGAAGGCCTGGAGAGAAGTTGACATACTTCAGGTTGCTTTCATTGACAAAGCCAACGAGATCTGTTGAGGTGTTGGAAGCGAGCAGGCTGAGGGAGAGAAATCCTCTGAGTGTTTCAGCTGAACGGGTAGTGCGGAGGGGTGGATCTTGCTTCCAGTGGGAAGTGGGCAGGTGGAATGAAGGTTCCTTTTGTGTGTGATGGAAGATATCTAGCAGAGTTCCGTGAGGGTAACTGTGTGTCGGACACATACACCACAAGGCGACAAACACCGAGAGGTTAATGTCCTGTGTCAGCCTTTTCCAGGGACTCGTGTCTTGTAGTCCGTGGACGTTGCTGCTTGTGCTATGCAAAACGGTGTGTGCTGCCCTTCCCTCAGGACAGGCTCTGTTCCGACTGGTCTCTGTGGCGTGGGCTCAGAAGGTAGCACTGTGGTGACATTCTGCTAGCACATTGGATTCTTAGGATGCTTTTTACTTCTTCATAAGTGCAGTGTCAAGTTCTAACTTCTTGCTCTCTTTCAATGCCCCACATACTCTGGACCCATTCTACCAATTCAGCAAGTACCTACCATTCCAAATGGACACAGCTCCTCACCCCCCATGGTATGCAGTACTCGTTCTTTCTCCAACTTCTGCTCGCCCCTCCGCTTTGCTTGACCGCCCTGAGTCTCCTGTAGCCTCGACTGCTCTGCTTTCCCAGATTCTGTAGTATGTGTTAGCTCCTGCTGACTTAATGCTCCCCAGTAACACATTGCCTTCTGTGCTGTGTAGTGTATCCACTCGGTCTTCTCTCTGAGTAAAGTTAAGCTTTTTGGAGGCACAAGATCCTGCTTATAATGACTCTGTCTCCCTGAGTGCTAGCATGTAGTTGGGCAGATAGCTACTTATTCAGCAGGTTATTGTTACTTATTTTAGTTATTTGAATGGAACTGCTTTTCCTTATAGTATCTATAGTAACTTTTTTTCTTTTTGGTGTAGGCTTTCCAAGATCTTCCAAACACCTTGGATGAAATTGATGCGTTGTTGACCGAAGAAAGATCAAGAGCGTCCTGCTTCACGGGCCTGAATCCTACAGTATGCCTCTTCGTGTCCTCCCGCCCCGTAGCTGACGTCACCTGCACACACGGTTCCCCTAGTGCTCGCCTCCCACTCTGTACTAGAGCGCTTGGTAATAATAAGCTAGACAGCAGGAACAATGTGCTTTAAATGCCAGAATCTGAATCGATTAGAATTTTAAATAGATTCCTGCTAAGGAACACAGTGTTCCGTGCTTTTTCTTTACAAAAAGAAAACTTAGGCTGACCTGAAACCCTGCCATGTCTGCTTTCCCTCCTCCCCTCCAAGAGTATAGAAATGACGTTTGCAGTGTGTAATAAGAACATATTAATTGGATCCGTACAGTGCAACACAATTGGCATCTTCAGGTCATATTTGGATTTATGTAAGAATTTAAATAATTTTGTCCTTTGTTGGATTTGTGTTAAAGCAAGTGTTTTTTTTCCTGCCAGGTGGTTGAAGAATACATGAAAAGAGAAGAAGAAATCGAGCAGTTAACTGAGGAACTACAGGGAAAGAGAATTGAACTGGATAAATACAGGGAGAGCATCTCCCAGGTAATTGTTTAGCTTTTGTCTCTCTCTGTCATGTACGAGAATATAGAATAATGCAAGATAGAGTGAATGCTCCTGGGGTAAAGGTGTGCACTCATTGAGCAGGTTAACACGGAAACAAAATGTAGTCTATATGAAGTCTTTTTTTTAACAGAGTGTAATACAATACTTCCCTTAAATTATGTCTATGTTACTTTTATTTTTAGGTAAAAGAAAGGTGGCTTAATCCTTTAAAGGAGCTGGTAGAAAAAATTAATGAAAAATTCAGCAATTTTTTTAGTTCTATGCAATGTGCTGGTGAAGTGGATCTCCATACAGAAAATGAGGTAAAATTATACTTGAAATGTATTCTGGGTAGGCAATTTTAATTATGTACTAAAAGCAAATTATTTAGTTATTTTGCATTTGTAAATTATTTAGTTATTTTGCGTTTGTTTCTGAAGACTTTGCTTACTAGAAAATTACTCAAAGGAAGAAATGCCTGTAGGATTCCATTAGGGTCATTTTTTTTTCTTTTCCTGTTTTAAATCAGTGACTAATACCTTACTAGTAACTCCTTATGTTTCTGTTTTGAGTAGTGGCTGCTCATCTGTGTTGGACAAAGGCATTACTCTGTAAAACAACCATTGTTGAAGTAGGAAGAGTTGTAAGCTAGCTAACATAACTGAAATACACTTAGGAAACCAATGTGCTTTTTAAAATTTATTTATTCTATTCAAAAAGCAGAATTTACAGAGAGAGAAGGACAGTCGGGGAGACAGAATAATCCTCCAGTCAATGGTTCACTCCCCAAATGGCCATAACTAGTGACCTGAGCTGATCAGATCAGAGGCCAGGAGCCAGTAACCCTCTGCATCTCCCACATGGTGCAACGTGGCAAAGCCTTGGGCCATTCTTTGGTGCTTTCCCAGTCCATAAGCAGAGAGCTGCATTGGAAGGGAAGCAGCAAGGCCCGAACCAGTGCTGAAGTGGGCTGCTGGCACCATGGTGTAGGGGATTAGCATTCAACCAAAGACACAGGGAAGACCTGCCCTCAGCAGTGGAACCCAGAGCTGCTTTGCAGTGTCATGCAGCATGGTGTACCAGGTGTGCTTGTTGCTTTCACCTCTGGCTTACAAACCAGACATTCTGCTCTGAATGTGTTAGCTGTGCCTGAGTGGATCCATGGGATCTACTCTGAATGTGTTAGCTGTGCCTGAGTGGATCCATGGGATCTACTCTGAATGTGTTAGCTGTGCCTGAGTGGATCCATGGGATCTACTCTGAATGTGTTAGCTGTGCCTGAATGGATCCATGGGATCTACTCTGAATGTGTTAGCTGTGCCTGAGTGGATCCATGGGATCTTTACAGCTTTTGGACCGTAACTGCTTGGCTAATATTTTACTGCTTTACACGAGCTGGTACCGCTAAGTTTTAAGTTGTTTTTTCCTATTAAAAAAAAAAAAACTTTGGGCCCGGCGTGGTGGCGCAAGTGGTTAAGGTCCTTGCCTTGCACGCCCGGGATCCCATATGGGCGCCGGTTCTAATCCCGGCAGCCCCGCTTCCCTTCCAGCTCCCTGCCTGTGGCCCGGGAAAGCAGCAGAGGACGGCCCAAGGCTTTGGGACCCTGCACCCGCGTGGGAGACCCGGAAGAGGCTCCTGGCTTCGGATCGGCATAGCATCGGCCATTGCGCTCACTTGGGGAGTGAATCATTGGACAGAAGATCTTCCTCTCTGTCTCTCCTCTCTGTATATCCGCCTTTCCAATGAAAAAATAATAAAAATAAATCTTAAAAAAAAAAAACTTATTTGAGGAGAGTGGAAAGGGATATCCCTTTGCCTGTAGAACTGTGTTATGAAAAAGCAAAAATTCTAAGAAATAGGAATTTTCATTTGAAAGGTGCAGTTACAGAGAAACAGAGAGAGTTCTTGTGTCTGCTGGTTCATTCCCAGGGACTGCAGTGGTCAGGATTGGGCCAGGACGAAGCCGGGAGCTTGGACCCTGTGCAGGTTCCCCACCGGCTGCCGACTTGGGCTGCCTTCTGCCTTCCCGGGGCCATGAAGTTGAACAGTTGGGATACTGCATCTGCAGCTGCCAAGCCCACTGCATCTGCTCTTGGAATTGATTATTCAGTCTCTTCAGCAAGGATTAAAGTAGCTGAAGAAACTGTCATTTTTCATCACTTTTTCAATGTTTTACAGGAAGACTATGACAAATACGGAATTCGTATTAGAGTCAAGTTTCGCAGTAGTACTCAGCTGCATGAATTAACTCCTCACCATCAAAGTGGAGGTGAAAGAAGTGTTTCTACTATGCTGTACCTGATGGCACTTCAAGAACTGAACAGGTGTCCATTCAGAGTAGTTGACGAAATTAACCAGGTAGAGCAATGGTTCTTTTGTTTTTAGGTCTTACTGTATGCTGTAGTAAGCTTAACTGCATTCAGTGTCTTTGTCCTTGTTTAGGGAATGGACCCCATCAATGAACGGAGAGTATTTGAAATGGTTGTAAATACTGCCTGTAAAGAAAACACGTCTCAGTACTTCTTCATTACACCAAAGGTAGGCCCTAAGCGATCTAAAGTGTAACTCCAGTCTCCCCTGGGCTGACCCATCAGCTGACACCTCCCGGAAAGGCACTAAGAATACCGTAATAACACGTGTACTGATGAGGGGAGTGCGTTCCCGTGAGAAGGGCGCATGCTGTGTTGTAGGCGCGAGGAGCCCCCTTGGCCTGGGAGGTACATCAGTGCTGTAGGCTGGATTCCCACGGTACTGCTTCAGGTGATGCTCACAGCGTGGCAAGGTTGTGTTGGAGAGCTTCAGAGCACCTGTTAAGGATATATGTGTTTGAATGCATAGATGTACACTTAGAAGAGCGTAAGTGACATTTTGTCTGTTTCAATATAGCTCCTGCAGAATCTCCCTTACTCGGAGAAGATGACGGTGTTGTTTGTCTATAACGGGCCGCACATGCTGGAGCCGAGCAAGTGGAACTTGAAGGCTTTCCAAAGACGGCGGCGGCGCATCACGTTCACTCAGCCTGCTCAGTAAGCGGCAAAGGGAGGGAACTTTGGAATTTTCTGTAAAATTCTGTTTGTAAGTATGGATCAGCTGAATAAAAGTTAGGTGATTTGTTACAAGTTAAATATGGGTTATTTTTGGAAACCTCCTTCTAGATGCAAACAGGGTGATGAGCTGGACACCATGGCTTCTGGAACATTGTCTGGTGGTAAAAGTCTTCGGTTTGGGTTCAGTTTGAGTTCTTTACGCTCTGTGTGTCATTGGATTCCCATTTTTGAAACATTTAATATTGCAGATCAAAGGGTGTCAGTCGTAAGAAGTGTACTTGCCACGGTGGCCTGGCTCAGCGAGGAGTGGTGTGGGCCGCTCAGCGCCCCGTGGTCTGTGTCTCGATTCCTCATTTCCTCCCAGTGTCACGTTTACATTTGAATTATTGATATGGACATGTCTAATGTATAGTAATAATTTATGACAAATTAGTCATTTCTTCCTGCTAAAAAAAGATTACTTTTTCTGCACTAGGAGATAAGAATTGTATAGGCCTTTAAGACAAGTTTTACAAAACTTAATGCTACAATTGTATTGGTTTTTCAAAGGCAAAGAAAACACTGGGTTCAGAAATAGTAGCAAGACTTCCTTGAAAGGTCAAAGGTGGCCACTAAATGATGCAGAATATGGCCAAAGGGTCGACAGAGTATAATCAGGTGACAAGGGCTTTGAAGAATAGCCTTGTAAAGTTGGGAATTTTGTTTTTTAGTTTAAAGTCAATTGTATTTTACAAGTTAAATTTCTAGAAGCATTTTTATAATTTTTAGAAAGATTTTTCATAAGATTTCATAGACTGGTTACTGCAGTTTATGTTTGAGATTTCTCAGCGCTGTGTACGGACGGGGGACGGCGCAGCACTGGTGGACTCAGAACCAAAATGCTGTTTGAGCATGAGTTTCTAGATCCTTCTTGCAGTGCGAATCTGTGCAGTGTGTCAGAGAGTCCTTCCAGCGTGAGAGAGCTGGAGGAGGAAAAATATGCATGTTTTGAGTTACACTAATTAAAAGTGCCAAACAAATTGTATTCTCTTAAAAAGGAAATCTTAAGGACGTGAGTTGCTCCAGTCATGCCTTTCTCTGAGCAGTGGATCAGATCTGTACCAGATGTAACAAAGTATTTTTTCGACTTGCTCACCTGAATAAATTGAAAAATTATATTCAGTTCAGGTTTGTATATTTTTAAATAGTCATTGAAATTTATTCTTATTGCCGGGAAGAGGGGCGGGGCTGACGCTCAGGGACGTGACCCCTGGCAACATGGCTGCTGCCAGGGTCCCCAGGCTCGGCCAAGTTCGTCTCCCGGAATGCAACCAGCAGCCTTCACGCCCACTCGGAAGGCTGCTTCGGGGAGGCTGGACCCCCCACGCGTGGCCCTTTTCGGGCCTAGCGTGGTAACCCAGGTACAGCGACCCGACCCCCAGGCCGGTGGCGCTAGGGGCGTGGCTAGACCCAAGCCCGGGCCGGGAAGAGGGGCGGGGCTGACGCTCAGGGACGTGACCCCCTGGCAACATGGCTGCTGCCAGGGTCCCCAGGCTCGGCCAAGTTCGTCTCCCGGAATGCAACCAGCAGTCTTCACGCCCACTCGGAAGGCTGCTTTGGGGAGGCTGGACGCCCCACGCGTGGCCCTTTTCGGGCCTAGCGTGGTAACAGGTACAGCGACCCAACCCCCGGGCCGGTGGCGCTAGGGGCGTGGCTAGACCCAAGCCCGGGCCGGGAAGAGGGGCGGGGCTGACGCTCGGGGACGTGACCCCTGGCCACATGGCGGCCAGGGTCCCCAGGCTCGGCCAAGTTCGTCTCCCAGAATGCAACCAGCAGTCTTCACGCCCACTTGGAAGGCTGCTTCGGGGCGGCCAGTGCGCCAGTTGGCGCCAGGCTTCGCCTGCTGGCCGCCCGGCCAGGGAGCCCTGAGAAATTGGTTCTCTGTATGCTGCTCAAGACGGCTTCATGCTGAAGCTATAGCGTTTTGGGGACACCAAGCAACCCTAAAGATTTCCAACGGCTGTAAATCTCCCTCAGACGAATCTGCTGCTATCATGGTTTCACTCCATAAGTTCCGAATGATTGTAACTCCCAATATAATGCCAATTCCTTACGATACACAGTAACTGGGTGGGAACACAGAGAAATCTCTCATTTCCCTTGAAAAAGCTAGGAATCCACGTAGTGTAACCTGCAGGAACTAGATAAGTATCTTAAAGTTGATAGATCCAGATCAGCATTAGACAACAGCAAAAGCTACAATGACACACAGGGGAATTAGGAACGACCCAAACAGTCTATTAACAAGTGGTCATATGCACAGAATAGGGGAGAACCCCAGAGCGGAACAGAGGGACTGGAGGAGGCTTATCCCCCACCCATAAGGACTCCCGGACTCCCACCAAGGTCTATCAGAACGGACACAAGAACGTCAACGCAACTGCCAAAGAGAACACGGGGATCTGGAATGCCTCCGAATGCTGTGAACCCAGAGGACAGACACCCCCTCTCTTTGGACCAACTACACGAGATGGAAGAAGCCCGAGTCCTTCCACATAGGAACCAACGACATCAGAACAACAACTAGGAACCACGATTGGTCATCAGAACCAGAAGATCAATAAACTTCCGGCGGGACAGTGGGGGAGGAATCCTCTCCAGTCCTTACCTAGTTTCAGCTCTGGGCCTCCACCCCCTATAAAGACCAACAAGGTTCCTCCTAAACCCCCCTCCCCCCCTACACACACACACACTTACACACACACTCATATACACACACTAATAGGATGAGATAACCAAAGAACAATAAAGATAGGTCATCAAGGACTCACTCATATACTATTAGATGGAACATAAAGAACAAGTACTCATTAACAAGGTATGAGAGATTTCCCTGCAACACCCCCCAAAATCGTTACACACCTCAATTGAGGTGACATTGAAATAGTTGTAGAAGGTAATCAAGAAGTTACATGTAATTTTTACATATTGTCTACTCAATACTATGTCAGACATCTAATGTTTGCCTGGATTTAACCTGTAATTTATGCTTGGTTGATTGTTACTTTTTGAACCTGTCACTGATACTGTCTAAACCCAGAGGTGCGGAAGAATTAAACTTTTTTTTTTTTTTTAGCATATTGTTCACTCAACACTATACCAATTAATCCCATAACATCGTATATCGACGCTGATGTTTTGTTGGGGGTTTTAACTGACCGGAACTTTACTCTGTTAGCTCTACCTTCAGACCAGAGAAGGTCTCCCCAAGAGGCCACTGAACTTATCTGGACAATAAGACGCTGGACTTTATGCTAGGTACATGCTCACAATGAAGGAATTTCAACTGAACTTGAACTGTGGTTATGCAGCAAGATGGAGCAATCCACTATGGGAGGAGGGGTGTGGGAGGGGCGGGGGGACTCCCCAGTGCTTATAAAACTGTTTCACATAATACAATGTTAATAAAAAAAAAAAGACAGTGAAAAAAAAAGAAATTTATGCTTATTACAATAATGAACAGTAGGTTTATGTTCTCTGAGACATTTTCTCTCTAAGGAGGTATTTTACCTTTTTGAATCTTTTTAAAAGCCTTCCTCTCTTAAACTAAGTATAATGCATGAAATATGAAAATATTTTAAGATCACATTTTTATCTAGTGCGAATAAGTCTTGTAAATATTGAAGAACTTGGTAACATGTTAGTAAGCTGATGTCCCCAGCTGTTTTCTACCCGACGTCTTTTATAATGTGTGCTTGGTGTGCTTTGTGTACTGTCTGAGTCATCTTACCTCTGCAACATGACTATCAATGTGAAATAAACCTGAAGATTAAGCATGATCAAAAAGAAAATGGTCAGTTATATTTCAGTTTGTATATTCCACCAATTATTCCAAACCTTGTTTGTAAACATTTTTATTTTGCCACGGGACAAATCTAATAATCTGGTTTTTCATTAACTTTTGAGCTAAGAGGGCAAATTATGTGTCATTTTAACATTAAGGGATGAATCTGATAGAATATAGGTTCAGCCACTTAAAGTTCTTGTATTTTTAGCAAATGTTGACTTTTTTTCAAATTACATACAAATTGTAAAAACCTCACATGGAAACCTGATTTGATGAATAACATAGTATTTAAAACATTAAATAGGGAGGTAACAGCAATTTTGATAACTAAATCTTCATTGATTTGCCTTTAAAATATTCTCTATATTTAAAGTAAAAGGAAATATTTCTGGCTTCTTTCTAATTGTTTTGAAATATGTATCTGTTTTCTCTGAACCTTTAGTAAGTGAAAACTGTAATTTCATCCTGTTGTGTGTGTATGCGTGTCACTGAAAAAAATCTGGAAATGCTATTTCATTGGTAACAAATGCATATTTTCATATTCCTTTGGTGTGTATTCTGTAAAATGGGAATGCTTCTTTTATACTTGAAACCTTCTTAAGATGATTTTAGTTTCAGATTTACTAAAACACAAGTGTCCATCATTTACAAAACAGGATTTGTCAGTTTATTATCAGGTCGAAAATCAAATGGCTTGACTACCTGCAGAGAAATAAAATCTAAGAAGCAGTAGACACAGATGAGAAGAAGATTCGAGAGAGCCAAAGAGGCCGAGGTAGCTTAATGGCAAGTAGAAGGTTTGGGGCTGAAACGCGGAGGTAAACGTGCCCAGTAGCCAAGTCTGTCTGTGTCTTACCTCAGATTGTTGTCTGATTGGGAGTCCGAAAGACTTAGCAGTTGCTCATGAACAGGTCGCTGAACTAAGTCTCCACACTGATAGAGCGAGGGTCATTCCTCACTCACAGACTTGTCGGGAGGATCAGATCAGACACCTGTCGGGGAGGCACGTTGGCACTTCTCGTGTCTTCTTTTGTTTTCATTTGAAGGGTAGATAGATCTTTTCCATCTCAGGCCACTCCCCCAAGCATAACAACCAGAACTCTGAGTCACATTTATCAAAAAATCTAGATACCAAGACTTTAAGCCCTTAGCAATACAGGTCAAGTTATTTTCATTTGCCTTGTAGCCTGTAAGTGTGTCAGTGAGGTGAGCTGCCCTGAGGATTTTTGCACCGATCACGTTATTTCCGTTT